TTAATAAATACATGCTCATTTATCATTTATTTAGACCACAGTTAGTAAAATTTTAAACGTATTCGGTATTCCAAATCCCAATCTATCTGACCGTATTTTAGTAATAGCTTCAAAATATTCAGAACATTGTTCTTTCAGTCGCACATAGTACAAGTATTTATACTGTACATTCAAAGCCAATGGTAGTTTATTCGGCTTTATATTTGTATGTGTATTGATATCTATTTAATATTTGAAGAATTCTATATTTTTCCGAGTAATATATTGTGCGGCCCGCTAATGCTTTGTATTATTGTTCATGTTGCACAATGTACACGCCTTGCGTCAATTTGACAGTTGACAGTTTATTTATCGCAGTCGACGCTGATTGGTTAGCGTTTAGCAGTGCGAAAAGGGGATGAATGAATAAAACGCATGGTTCCGTGCAGGCTCACCTTTCTCCCAGTGAGCCTGTTCGCAGGCTATGACATACCTTGCCTTTTGGATCAGGCTGTTTCGTGGATTTTTCTATTAAAAAAACAAATTCACATGTAGAATGATGAATACTATAGTTAAATGATATCAAAAACGTCTTTAGCTGCCCAAAATATTTTCCATTCAATATTATCATACCATTACTAGTTGACGCAGTTTGTTCAGAACTCTTCCGAGTTTCATTCTTGTTGTAAAGTCGAGTAAGAAGTGCTTTACCACCTGCACATAAATACTATAAATAGAAATGACATTTTATTGAATGCATCATTTGCTGTGAAGCCCGTCACTCCCTCTACCTCTTGTTGCATCCTCGAGCATATAATGGAGCAGGGGGTTTATATGCATGGTGCCACTTTGCCAGGATAGAAAGAGAGACGGTACAATTCTAATGTATTGAAATATTAAGGCCACGATATACGATTTGGCCTTTCATTTACACACCAAGCCGAATTTATTTCACTACTTCAAAATCATCTACCGCGACCGAGAACATGTAAATAGCCTTCGTCGTAGCGGGAGAATGCGAGGTTTTAGCAAACTTACCAGTTCAGTCTCTGCATTAAAGGAAATTATGGGGGACTTTCTATTTTATTATCCCGAAATGACGTCACAACGATTAGGGTTAGGATAAAGGGATGGAATTAGGACAACGACTAAAATTGTATTTAAATTGAGGATGTGAATATTTCAATTGACCCGGATCTTCTAGCGTATAATTTTCCCATGCATGAAATAGTTATATCTATATTATCATACCTCTCTAAGTTGAGAGCAAGTGCGCTGATCTGAAGCTGCAATTAGAACGTGCCCAGTTTCACCTGTATTGATAGAAAAGAATGTGAACTTGAACAGGGTTAGGGAGTGTTTCCAATTTTTACAACAATTGTGATATTACTTTCCTAACTATGTTTATCCTAACCCACCCTGTCAACCTTCCCTGCATCCATGTGGGAGGAAACTGGAGCGCCAGGGGAAAACCCACAACTTTCGGCACAGCGTTGACTGACTCTTTTCACATGAGTCCTTAGCGAGAATCAAACACACGATCTCAGATGTAAAACGCGCTTGCTCTGACGACTACCCCACCTAGCTAACCCTGCTACTGAAGGTTGAGGATAGAGTATTGTTACTTGGCGCGGGTAATACTGACTTGATGTGCTTGGAATATCATGTAAGGAGAGTTAAAAAACTCATTAATAATTCCCGAGGAAAATACAAAAGAAATGAATGTTTAATCAATGTTTGTAAATCGGATAAAGATTTGTCCTGATTTACATAAACTTCAGCTTTGATTTTCTCGGCTTAGACAATGTTTATTTTTAAAATTACTTCGCCAATGAACTCATAAGATGGGTCATTTTTTAAGTACGATAAAACATTCGCATCCGATCTGTATCTGATATAAAAACTCTCGCCTTCGGCTCGAGTTTGTATATCAGATACAGATCGGCTGCTCATGTTTTATCTAGTAGTACTTGTAGTTTGCTCTCTTCACTTCGAGGACCTTTCTGCGCGTACGCCACTGTTCTTCTCTCACCAAAAACAAGTCTTTCATCACAGCTATATACATTCTAAAAGCACCCTGGTTGGACATTTCCCGGTTAATCTAAAATTAACCCTGTTTGGGGTAACTTAATGTTCCTGGTTAAATTTCCGGATTAATTTAACCACAATCCTGGTTAACTTGCTCATGGTCCTGGTCAATTTAACCAGGCTATATGGTTGAATTAACCAGATTATGTTAGGTTTACTACTAACCAAGATTACCTGGTTAATCATCCATCTAACATAATCTGGTTAATTCAACCACATAGCCTGGTAAAATTAACCAAGAACATTAAGTTACCCCAAACAGGGTCAATTTTGATTAACCAGGAAATTTTTAGCCAGGGTGATTTTAGAGTGCATGCTCCGTCACAGAATACTTCGACTCGGTCACGTTAGAGCTGTATCATTGGTATTCGCAATTCAGTGCTCCCCCCCCCCCCTCACCCAGCTAATTTTAATTACCTGATTTATCTGCAGCCTTTTCTTTATCAACATCCTCCAAGACATCTTTCAGTACTTTCCATTTTGGACTTTCTTCCAGAACCAACTCTAATCACATTGGTACATAAAATATAGACATAAATCGGTGATAAACCTCTAGCTTTTATAAAAAAATTTAATAAGGAACTAAGTTAGCAGGGGCCAGTTGTTCAGAGACCGCTAATCCTGGGTTAAAGTTAATCCACTATTTTTTATATTTCTGCAGGTGCCTATAAATTCAAAACTTTAGAAAAAAAGTCAAATGAACCAGTCTTCCAGACAAGATTTCTGGCATAGCATCTTCAAATTTGCTTGAACGTTTTTGGTTAACTAAGGATTAGAACGACCAAGTATCGAACAACCGGACCCAGATTGCTGTTTCTTGGTATGTTGGGTGATGGGTTCCAGCATATAGGAAACAATTTTGTTGAGAAGAGTTCTACTTCAGTACTGGGCCAATTTGCTGAGTATCACATCTCACGGCTTGAAATGCATGTGTTGTGTGCAAGACGAGAAATCTGGAACTGGTTGTATAAAACATTCAACTACTTTTTATTTCACAATTAAATAGTGGTTAACTTTAAAATACGCGATTTTGGTTGGTTAACTTTTGCACTAACTGTAGTTAATGAAAGCTAGTAACCACTAACCACCTTTTTAGACAACTGGCCTGGGGTTTACCGTTGTAAACAGAGCCATTACGACGTCTCAAATTTTATTACAACCGTCGTCACGTTGCTAATAGGGAGCTTTAGATTTGACTACGAGTACGACTACGAGTACGAGATTTGATCGCGTGCGAGGAAATTACCGTAGTCGTTCTCGTTTCCATTCAAATGTTGCTTTTATAACAGTAAATCAACAACGAGAGAAAAAGTTTCATAAACTAAATCTCCTGCTGACTAAAATCCCGTACAAAACGTGCAAGTAAGTCATAACATTAAAAACAGGCCAGATATTTAGTACTAACATACTATTTGCGCCGGATAAACGCTATATAAATGCTACAAATTATTTTTGGAAAACAAAAAAATTAGCCAACTTTCTTTGGTTTTTTTTTGAAAAGTCGTCGTGAGGACTACGAGGTTTCTCCACAATTTCGTACTCAGATGAGCGACGGATACCACTTTTTAGCGTCAGTACGGGATGGCGTAAGCATACAGCATGCGTTTAGCTTGACGAATCTCGTACTCGTAGTCGTACTCAAATCTAAAGCTCCCTAATAGAGAGTTTTAAGGCCCATTTCCACTCAGGAAAATTTTCCGCAAAGAAAATTTTTGGAAAGAAAATTTTGTAAAATGTGATTAGTTGACACAAATTTTCTGTCGGAAAAAAAATTTGAAGTTGAAAATTTTCAACTTTTAACAATGATATTTTCGGAAAAATTTTTAAGATTTGACTACGAGTACGAGAACGAGATTCGTCATTTTTGGGCGAAACGCACGCCATATGCTTGCACCATCCCGTACCATCACTGACGCGAAAACCGCGTTGCCGTCGCCCATCTGTGTACAAAATTTTGGTGAAATCTCGTAGTCCTCACGATGACTTTTTCAAAAGCGAAGAAAGTTGTTAGCTTTTACTTTTCAACCGTTCCAAATAATTTAAAGAAATAAGTATTATTTGAAAAAAAATTATAAAAGAGAATGGGGAACTGAAAGGTGTTTTGAAAAAATAAAAAAATCCGCGAAAAATAAAAAAATCACACAAAAAAAAAATCACATGATTTTTTGATCTCGTACACTTTTTAGGAGTGATTTGCAGCTCGAAATTGCAAGTATCTTTGGGCCGTGCTCACATTTCTTTGCGACGACTTTTTAGATAACATGGCTCTATGTCAGGAATTGCGTTGCAAGTTGTATAACTATATATAAGTGTTCATTTTCACCCCACCCCCCTTTTTCTTAGATATATTCAACATCCAGATACTGAACGTGCAGTATAATTCATTTGTAATATGACACGTGCAGTATAATTCATTTGTAATATGACATGAGAACCAGAAAAATTGAAAATGGCTAAGAGTAAGACAGTAATACGAGGATTCTTGAGCGCTGCCTAAAGGGGAAAGTGAACAAAATTACCAACATTTTCGTCAATGAAATATTCATCAAGTGAATTGAAACTGGGGCTTCATCACTCGTCTCAGTCTTCACAAGAGGCTAAGCTGCCCTAAAAATAGATTAAGCCATGGTTGAAAAGTGTGAGCTTCCATCGCCAGGAAGTTCGACCATGCTAATATGCCGGCGATTTTAGCCCCCACTGATATCGACTATGAAGTCATACAAACTGACAAAAAAAAACTACGAAGCAATTTTTTGCAAATTTTCCCGGGAAGGGGGTATGCCCACGGATCCCTTTGTTTTTCGGCCCTCGTAACTTTTAAAATCTTCCATCTTTTGCGCGTCGAGTTTGCACTTACCTGAAAACTACGGTACCCAACTTAGCTGGAAATTAGTCCTCCCAAAATAAAACTGAGGAAAATGAGAATTATAAAACACCAATTTATAAGTATTTATAGGCATTTAGCTTCAGTTGTTACATTGTTGTTTGTGATTTGAACTATGGTATAGGGCTAGCTAGGAGCTTATTAGAAACTAGACCTAACTGACAATAGTTACATATTACGTTTTTGTCAGTTCAAAATTTTGGAAACAAAACGGACTGTTATGAATTATGCTACTATTTACAAATAAAACGCTAATTAACTTCCACCATTCTCTTACATATTATATTAGGGAGGTATAACGGCAGATTTACATCATCATATGAGAGACTTTTCAAAAAAGTAGAGATAATAATATTCCTTTGTTCCAAAATCATCCTTTAACTTCTTTAAGGAGAGATCATTTAGCAAAAGTTGAGACGCGCAATCAACCAGCGATGTATCAACGAGCGGAACAAAAAGAAATGTTTCCCCCGGGTGTTGTAGGATTGCATTTTCCAGCTGCTTGACAACATGTGCTTGAAGCAACTTCTTATCCAGCGTGTAACAGACGGTATATAATTGAGGACATTTCTCAGTTGGACACCACCGAGAGTGACTTAATGATTCGATGGATTCACCAGAATAAGAAGCGAAGATTGAATCACCGTCCTTGAATAAGCCATTGAGAATATTGGATACACGAGCTTTGAAAGGTTGCCAATGAACGATATATGTATCTTTCAACAAGAGATTACACAGCTTTCCTTGGTTTAGGACACTCTCAAACTCAACCTTTTCCAAAGTTTTTAAGTTAGTCGACTGGTCAGAAAAGTAGCGTCCAAGCCTAGAGCTCAACTCAGACGCATTACCATTCACAACACATGCGAAAAATACAACTGTGTGAAATAAAATGTCAGTTGATTTCTTTTGTATTCCCAGACGTTCCACGCTTTGCGAATTTACTGAGTATCGCTCAAATTTAACTTGTGGGAAATTCTCGTTCACATAATTTCGACATTCTTGAATCAATCGTTCGCCAATTCCCTGACGACGATATTTGAGATGCACACGCAAACCTTGAACAATGGATGTTTCACCTTCGTCAACAATATGAACGACTTGTAACCCGACAACTTTGCCGTCTTTCTCTGCAACCAAAATTCGTCGACTTGGGTCATTCAGAAACTTCGGAAACTCGGAAAGGAAGTAATCATTGCCTCCATATACACCCTTCGACATCTCTAAAACGGCTGGTAAGTCAGCTTCACTAGCAAGGCGAATAAGGACGTTCGCCATTTTGGTAATCTAATAACTTTGTTTTTGTATTCTGATTTCTGGCCTATTCAAGCTGAACTGACCTTTATATGACCTCTATAAGCTGCTGCAATATTCAAAAGCCGATTATGTAAATTTTACACAAATTTGTGAAAAACCTCGTGTGTGTATATTATGTTTATCCTATGCAGCTATGCTTCATCTGCTATTAATTACATGTAAATATGGTGGCCATGGCTAGCCATGATAGTAGCTAAGAGGGGGTTAAGGAAGCCCTATTATGATTACCTATTTGTCTTTGGAGATAATAGAGAAAAAGTAGACATAATAATATTAAAAAAAGTAGAGATAATAATATTCATTTGTTCCAAAATCATCCTTATAGGATCATCCAAGTATATTATTATCTCTACTTTTTTGGACATAATAGAGGCCATATAGAGGGGAGAGGAATTTTCTGGTTGCACGTCGTTTGATCGATGGTAAGGACAACAGAACATAAGTCCCTTATTAAGTCCCATCATTTTTATACATCATAGATGAATAATCTGTTATGACGAACTTCTTGACGGATGGTCTCTATCTGTACAAGCAAACATTTTATTGGATGGAAACTTCTACCATGACTTATTTCTTTGTGCCACAATTATAAGTGCTAGAAGTTTTCATCCAATAAAGTTTGTGCATGCTACTGCATAAAAAAAACATGCATGATTATCTTCATTCTATTTTTTCACAGAGATTACAGTATATACACAGCATGATTCATTGGGCGGCGGAATGGACCAATCCCCAATTAACCAAAATTTTGAACTCAACACGTCCAGACAAAAATTTCATCACAGCTTGAAAGAGCATCACTAAATTAGTAATATTCCAAAGTTTCGTTGCAAAATATTGTAAAATGCGGATAATATAGCCTTGCGAAGTTTGCAAATTTCAGTCATTTTAGATTAGGGGCGGACCATTAGAAATCCCGGGAGGGGGTGTGAAAATTCCCCCAAAAAAATTCGTGCAAAGGAAAATGCCTGGAAAAAAATTCGTGCAGCCATTACGTCAGAGAAAAAAAAATCGTGTAAGCAAACAGCGAAGTACAAATAGTCTTGAAAAAAAATTCGTGCAGAGGTTAAATGCATTAAAAAAAATTCCTGCAGAGACACGAAACTGAAAAAAAAAATTCGTGCCGCAAAAATTTTATACCCCCCCTCCCGGGATTTCTAATGGTCCGCCCCTTACAAACGGGAAATGGTTACCACTTCTGTGCGTAATGCAAACGCAAGGCTATATTATCCGCATTTTACAACATTTTGCAACGAAACTTTGGAATATTACTAATTTTGTGATGCTTTTTCAAGCTGTGATGAAATTTTTGTTTAGGCTAGTGAAGATCAAAATTTTAGAAAAGTGGTAACCATTTCCCGTTTGTAATCTAAAATGACTGAAAATTGCAAATTTCGCAAGGCTATATTATCCGCATTTTACAACATTTCGCAACGAAACTTTGGAATATTACTATTTTTGATGCTCTTTCATGCTATGATGGAATTTTGTCTAGACTTGTTGAGATCAAAATTTTGGTTAATTGAGGAATGGTCCATTTGTCTTGTGAGCTATTAAGGAGCTCAAATTGTATTCATTTGGGACATTGCGTGCTCTGTGAAGAGGATTATTCATTAATTTTTGGAGCGGTAAATTTCAATACGATAACGTACGGTCTAACTCTATGATAATCTTATACTATATATTGTGGTATTCTACTACACAACAAGGAGCACATGGTTGAAAACCGATTCTCCAAATCTTATAAGAACAAAAGCATGCAGAACACTTATCATTAAATATCATCTACATGTGCAACTAACCTCGAGATTTCTGCACTTCACACACATTTGCACTATTTATAAAACAAAAAATATAAAATACTTAATACTCTAATAAAAACTTTCGACCACAAAACAGTGAACATGCAAAAAGAATACTATTTATTATAGGTTTGAATAAATTCAATAAGCATATGATTAGCATGGACATGAACGAACAAAGCAAGACGGTTGAAATGGATTACTTACACCTATTTTATTGTAAAACGAACCTTTTACTCTCATCATTTGTCAAGGTTTTTTGCTTTTTAGCTTTAGATTTTGTTTCGCCCAGACTCAGTTGATACACTCTTTCTCTTGCGTGCTATATTTAAAAAACATGAAGCAAATCACGTTATAATTTTGTACATTTATTATCTGTTGCTATATGAAGCTGAAATTGGACCTTTCCCCTTATAACTAAAATTTTGATCTAGACAAAAATTTCATCACAGCTTGAAAGAGCATCACAAAATTAGTAATATTCCAAAGTTTCGTTGCGAAATGTTGTAAATTGCGAATAATATAGCCTTGCGAAGTTTGCCGTTTTTCAGTCATTTTGTATTACGCACGGGAAATTGACAGCCCAACGCGTGTTGTACATGTTTTTTATATATACATAATATGAAATAATTTTCAATGAAATTACATATTAATAAACTTAACGTTTTTAGAAAGGAAAATAATAATAATAATAATATACTGTATATCAAGAACAGGGAAAAAAGTAGGAGTTAACGCTTCAATTTGAGGCTTCATTGCGTAATCTTTTCTTAATTTTACAGCTGAGCGACTCTATGTCCGGATAAGTGTTTTCATTCTGTAAAATGTCCAAAAGGATACTACGTATCCTTTTCTTAAATGCTCTTTTTGGCAATTCTCTTATGCAAGATGGTACCTCATTCCACCATTTTACTCCAACATGAGAAAAAGACTTTCGTTGAATTTCTAGTTTCGATTGTTTAATGTAAAAATTATTTGACTTTGAGGAACGAGTATTATAAGAATGAATATCTGACGCTTTCTGGAAAAGATTGAGAATATTGACTGGTGCAACTCTATTTATAACATCATGCATCAATGTAAGTACATTTTCGTAGAATAAGATATTTACTGGTAAAATATTTGTAGCAACAAAAAAAGGTATTGCGTGTTCTCGTTTATCTGAAAAATGGATGAAGCGAAGAACACGTTTTTGCAAAACTAAGATATTACTCCAATTTGACTTGCTTGTCTGACCCCAGATAACAAGACAATAGGAGAGATATGGACCTATTAGCGATTTATAAATATTAAGTAAAGTATGTTTAGGTACAAAGTGCCTTAATTTTGAAATCATGCCTACAGTTTTACTTATTTTACTTAGAACATGTTCTACATGATATTTCCATGAGAGATTCTTGTCCATTAAAACCCCTAGATATTTAATATAATCTTCACATTTAAGCTCTGTATGTCCATTCAATTCGTTATATGTCCAGACTTGTCTATAGATCAAAATTTTAGTTTAGAGGAAAGGTCCATTATAGAGAGGAATGAGATGAGAATGTAACAATGGAGACAAGGAATATCACTCCGAAAAGATCTAACAAAACAGGAGGATAGCAGAAGTCGACTAAGAAATATAAGACTATACCCGAAAGTCAACACGTCACTAGACTTGCCACGAGTCCGTTTTAGACTTTTTAAGACTTGGATAAAATTGACGTCTTTGAAAAGGAGTTTGCGAAAGCCCGACTATACGTGACCTCGTGGTCGTCATGATAACATCGACCCTAACCCAAACCTTAATTCCAATCCTAAATCTCATCCTATTTGGTTTAAAGCCTATAAGAACATTGGTTGCATCTTCCATGAAAAGTCATGCACCTCCCGTTGAGAGTTAAATGGTTAAATGATAGATCAAAGAGAAAATTTGACAGACTTTTCGTGTTGTCTACACTTTGCAAGAACTTTTTTTGTGTAAAATTGAAACAGTGATAGCCATTCATCTCTCAAGTATGTACTGTACCCCTTAATGCAATATTTCGAAAGAAACTTTGTAGTAACGAAGGGCAAAATTGGATGAGACATACATTCGCAATTCATAAATACACTGATACATATAGTACAAGATCATATCCGCACAGCCCGTCTCTTGTTGGAAATATAAAATAAATACCACAAATAATGCTTCTGTAGCATCCATAAACATCCACATACTATGGTACATCGTATCACGTTCACTTGCTCTACATTTGTCAAACAATTAATACAAGTTTATTAAAAACAGGGATATTCGTACGTTCATGTCGGCGAAATACTGCCACTCTATTGATTATATAGTACAGTAAAGAAGTAGAGTTGACAACATGGGCATTTTAAGCCCTGGCGACAGTGCGCGGCTGTTGATGTCTATAACAAAAGTGTGGAAAGAAAAACATAGACTCGCAGTGCTAAATGACGCACAAATTGTTCTGGCAAAAACGTATAGAGAAGAAACCAATGATAAGCGCCACATCCTGAAGGTGTACAGCTTATTCTTTTATGAAACCATGCTCAAAACTACTTTCAAGCGTTTATACGCTTTGAACGTCTTGATACTGTAATTTAGCGGTCTACAGTATACAAAACAAATTTGAGCACTTTACCTTAGTGATTGAAGGAATTGGTAAAATGTAACACAATCATACTGCGTTAAATAACTAAAAAAGAAACAACAAATATTTTGACTCTTAGAATTCTGTCACAGTGGTTGGTTTTCTGGCAGTGGCGAACATTGGGGGAGGGAGTAGGGAAGGAGAGAAAGAAGAGCAACCGCAACCCTCAGTAAACTCTAACCTCCCACATTTGGGCCGAAAGTGGTAGCAATTTCCGCACGCAATACAAAAAGTATGCAAAATTTGCAAACTTTGCAAGGCTATGTTTTCCGCATTTCACCGACAACATTTCGCAACCAAACTTTGCAATTTTACTCATTTTTGCATCTCCTTGCCTAGTTTTAAAATTAGTCTATAATGGGAATTGTCTATTAGATGTACATTGACTAGTTCAGGGCCACGTGTCATAACAGCTTCTTTGTTCAGCTAGCAGCGAATAAAAAATCTGTTATGACACGTGGTCTGAAATGGCTATTCATGTTAATCTAATACACCCTTTCGATAATTACGTCATTAGGCCTGGGAGCCTCGCTCTTATGAATCGTGAGCCAATCACCTTGCGTAACTTACTAATGAGAGCGAGGCTCCAAGACCAAAACGTATGTGTGACGTAATTATCGAAAGGGTGTATTGTCATTGCACAGACTGAGATTTGCAACGCTCAACAGAATGACATGAATATGTTGGGAACGAATTTCTAACTACTGTATAGTAAGGTCTGCAGTCATGATTGCAGATTTTTTCCAAATATACAGTAGTTCCAAAAAGACTTACAACAGCAAAGTTCTCAGCACCTTGAGATCAGCAACAAGCTGCTTGGTCTTGGAGCTCTAAAACAAAAAAACAAATTATTCATGTTTTTAACACAGTATGTACAATACAACAGTGTCGACTAACCTCTGAAGAAAGCTTTCGCCCAAAACTGTCAAGTGTTTTATAAGTCAACTTATTGTTTTACATCACGATATATGACCATAGACGGATTTTCATATTTATTACTGGGGTGGTGCCAGACATTTTAGGGGGGTGAGCCGTGAGCAGGTGACTGAAGCAACACAAAGTGTCACAAAACACCAGTAAGGTCTATATTCTAGGGGTGGAACACTAGAGCCGCAAGGGGGAGTCTAGAGAGCAGAAAACAAAGTATCCCAGGAAAAATTTGAAAAAAGATCATGATTTCAGTCTAGCTTCAAAAAAAATTTTCTTGAAGTTGTCAATTTGTCATATCAATGGATTTGGCATGTCCGATTATCTGTTGAGAGAGACTTGAGAGTATGAACCTGTAAAAGTAGGCCAATACACAACATACTTTTATAAAGTCATTGACATTAATTGTGTTGAATCCGAGTACCATTTATGATGCAACTCCGATGTAAATAATATTTGGGGCGTAAAGATTAAATCTAGGCAAGTCTATTTCCTAAAATAATTAAAAACTAAAAATAGTGTTCGAAAAAATTCCAAACGTTCCTTGCGTGCAAGCTATTCGCATGACAAAGCACTGCAAACTCTATTCAGGGAAGATAATAGAGTTTCAAAACTTTACAATTGCTCCAATAAACCAGTGAATGCAAGCGAGGAGCGATTAGTTTCAGAGTGTTGCACTGTCTTTTTCTGTTTGAGTGTACTCCTACGTTTATTTTGTATCATCAACACTCTGCACGTTGGAGTGGACTATTTAATTATTTATTTATTATGCCGAATATTGGGGGGGTTGAAAATTTTTTTTGGAGGGGTGGACATTTTGTTTGGGGGGTTATAGCTAATATTGGGGGGGTAGCACCCCCCTGCACCCCCCCAGAAAATCCGTCTATGGATATATCATAGTAGACATAATAGATATCTATTATTTCTATAGCTGCACGTGTTCGTATATAAGCCCGCGAGTTTACGCCTGATGATGATGCAATTACTTACCAGTTGATGCCACACAGGATCAAGTTGAAGTCGTAATAGTTTATCAAAATATTTATTAATACTGTTCTCAACTGTCAACTCTTCAGGATCCAACTAAAAATAGTTATATGCATCATAAAAATTAAAATCCTGAATCATGCTAAATTTATTCATGTGATGGAATAAAACTCTTCGCAGTTTTTCCATTAAGGCTCTACATTTGAATCATTTTTATTAAAATTTTACACTTAATCTAAAAGAAAATCTAACCAAGTGGAATAAACTATGCAAAATACACTTGTAAGTATTTATAGTTAAGTGACTGTTTTTATAAAGTTCATTTAATAGACGTTTTTTTCTAACAGTTCAATGACAATATCCTATCAAAATTGGAGCTCTGGGACAACGCCACAAACGACGCCCACATAAGAACATGGTTGGTCTTAGTAACCTAATAGACCTTATGCATAATGACGTCACAAGGCTTGATGCCCGCGAGTAATGCTGGTCTTAGTAGTCATCGTCCTGGAAAATTTCGATAGTGGCCATTTTGAATTGTTTAATTTTCCCGGGCGATGACTACTAATACCAGCATTCCTCGCGGGCATCAAGCCACGTGACGTCATTATGCATATTATTAAGGTCTATCAGACCTGGTCTTGGCAGATGGCAAACATGATTTCGTAATGCCCTTCGTCGGGAAGTTAGTGAGCTCACGCATTTCGCGATAGTTAATCATAACAAAGTCATCCAGAGATACCGAGAATGAAAAGAATAAATGAAAAACACTGTGAAGGTAAAGTTTATCCTTTTAAAATTTTTGAAAATGTAATTAGTATTGACTGGCATTAGCTTATCAGCAAAAAATGCATGTTTCTATCGGAAATTGTCTTGTTTTAACAACTTACAAAGGAGTTTAGACGTTTAATATCTCTCAAGCAGGTAGCTATTAAATCCAGAATTGAAGTTTGTATGACTAACATTGATGGTGTCAGTTGAAGGTGAAGTTCCACAAGTTCAGGCTGGTAATAAAGAAACAAATCATTAAGTATAAACGCTTTAAGAAAATATTAAAGATAAAGACACAGGAGCTCGATTATGGCACATAATCTCTATTCATTTACATCAAAGCTGCCAGTGCGAGAAAACACGATGCGAGAAAACACGCGAGGGAGAAAACATCAAAACGATTCGCGTGTTTTCTCGCATCGCATGTTATCTCGCACTGACCGCTTTGATATAAACGTATGGAGATTGCAACGCGTGTGGCTTTGATATAAATATACTTATTAATACTGTATGTACTGAGATTATGTATACAGATTATGTATTAAAAAGTCATAATCGGGCTCCCTGCATGTGATAAAGATAAGGGTGCTAACCATCTTTCGTTTAGCTAAGTTTTGAAAGGAAAACGAGTCCAACGTCGTCCAACATTGTTGGTCCAAGAATGTTGGATGATGTTAGTAGATGTACTTTCAGTACGTACACTGCATCACGTCAGATAAAAAAGGACGTATACTGTATGATATCACCGCTCTATGTGATGTCAGATAAAAATAAAGTACAACACTGTACGTACTGTAGGTACACCGCACTCACACCTTATCACGTCACTTCCGCCGCTGAATGGGACCCTATCTACGGATGTTGGATGAAAATATTAAACCAAGTCAAAACCGATCCAACATCAGGCAAAACTACCCAACATAGTGTTCAAACGAGACCAACAATGTTGCATCCAGCAGTGTTAGATGATGTTTGTGATGTTACTCTGAGTGTGCATCCACACCGAGCAAGCTGAAAAGTTAGCTTGGCCACGGTGGGAATCGAACCCGCGACCCTCGGGATATTGTAGTCCAATGCTCTGCCAACTGAGCTACGAGGTCAAGTCGCTTCGAGTTGGTGATATATGTTGGATCAACATGTTGGCCTCGTTTCAACGAGCCTTAAACGTGATCGAATCAAAGGTTTATTACGTCGCCTCTGGCTGACAACGGATGATGCACTGACAACGGATGTGGGAACAGAATATTGCTGTATAATAGGAATCAGTGAACACTGAAGAAAAAGATTAACATACCGTGTGCCTCTCCAAAAAGGCTGACATTGGTGCGTAGAACCTGTTGCAATAAATACATGTACGTGCATTTAATAATCAACTTCAATGCAAAAATAAATCTGATGTACGTACTTGAAAGGATATCGGCAACAGAATTTATGTGAATCATTCACGGTAGTTAGTGGCTAATGTTTTTAAATGTAAAAATAATACTCTATATATGCCTGTTAATTAAGTAGTACTTGACACTCCTAATTAAGTTGAAACATCTTAACATCAGCTGCACCTTGGCCACAAGTAAAGCTTTTTGACAAACAAATTTTTCATCACTCGTTCAACTTTAGAAAAACCAGCAGTGAATGCTTCTGGTGCATCTGAAAATGCTTTGATAAAACCCGTCTAAAAACAGAAATAAAAGTAGAAAACATTTACAGTCAGATTTTAGAAACAAAATATTTTCCAAAGGTTAACAATGCATATAATAGGTAATAAAGAAAATGTAAGCATGTACTTTGTTATTTTCCCTGTACAGTCTTAATATAAATGCTTCTTGACAAGAATCTATAATCCTTAAATAAAAATATAAAATGATAAACAGCAGTACATGGATCTGATGAATGGTAAAGTAAAACTAACTGTAGTATTAAAACATTCGTTGGTGGGGATGTAACTCCCTGAAATTAGTGGCGGAGTCACGGGGGGGGGGACGAGTCCCCCCCCCCGCTCCCCTTCAGAACCACCTTCGAGATATGTTTAAATCCGTTGAGAAACTGGGG